TTTTACGTTTGGCTGCTTTCCACTGAGTCCATTTGAAAATGCATTAGTGGAATCTTTCTCTCTCAAAAGGGCTTTCCCAGGATTCCCGTTCAGATTCTTCCATTATGCTTTTCTTGTGCTTCCAAATACTTTGTAGAAATTATTTTTCCTTGGGGCATACTGAGAACTCTCTCAAAGGTAATTAATTGACCCTATGTTACTAATATCATAAACTTAGCAGACTAAGTTGCTACCATTCGAAAATATCAATGGATTGGATTTTGAGGTTAGGGCATAGAAGTTGAGTTCTTAAATTCCATATGACCTCCCTCCTCCGGTTTGGGCTCTGCTTTTTTGTTCCTTAACCTTTTGTTTCTTAGTTGTCTACTGACTGTAGAAACAAACGTGTCTGGATGGGTAGGTTAGTTTTTTTTTTTAAATTGAGTTCATATACCACACAACCACATACCACATACCCTTTTAAAGTGTGTAATTCACTAACTTTCAGTATATTTAGAATTGTGCAGCCATAACCATTATCTAACTCCAGAACATTTTCATCACTCCCAGAAGAAACCTCGTATCATTAACAGTCCCTCTCCATTCCACCCTTCCCCCCAGCCCCTGGCAACCACGAGTCTACTTGCCTGTTCTGGGCATTTCATATATGTAAAATCACACAATATGTGGTTTTTTTTTGTGTGTGTCTGGCTTATTTCACTTAACATGATGTTTTCAGGGTTCATCCATGTTGTAGTATGTATCAATGCTTCATTCCTTTTTATTTTTAAACTAGGGGAGGTAATTAGGTTTATTTTCATTTTTAGAGGAGATACTGGGGATTGAACCCAGGACCTTATGCATGCTAAGCATGTGCTCTACCACTGAGCTATACCCTCCCCCCCATTCCTTTTTGTAGCTGAATAATACCCTTTTGTCTGGATTTGCCACATTTCGTTTATCCTTTCATCATTTTGACATTCAGATTGTTTCCATTCTTTGGCTGTTAAATGCTGCCATGGACACGTACAAGTTTGTGTATGGCCGTATGTGTTCATTTCTCTTGGGTATAGACCTAGGTGTAGATTCTTGGATCACATGGTAACTTTAACTTTCTGAGGAATGTTATCTACAGCTGTTGCACCATTTTACATTCCATCAGCAATGTATGAGGGTCTAAATTCTCCACATCCTTGCCAACACTTACTGTTGTCATCCATCTTTTTCATTATAGCTATCCCAGTGGGTGGTAAGTAGGTTCTCACTTTGCTTTTGATTTGCATTCCCTTGTTGATGAATGATGTTGAGCATCTTTTGCTGTGCTTACTGGTTATTTGTGTATCTTTGGCTTCTTTGAAAAAAATGTCTATTCTGACCCTTTGCCCATTTTTTTCGTTGGTTACTTGTGCTCTTGGTGTTATATCTAAGAAACCATTGCCCATTCCAAGGTCAAGAATACACCTACTTTCTTCTAAGAATTTGATAGTTTCAACTCTTACATTTAGGTCTTCATTTCGAGTTAATTTTTGTCTGTAGTATGTATGATTCTTTGCATATGGATAGCTAGTTATCCTGGCACCATTTGTTGAATATGACTTTCTTTTTAACTGTTTTTTTCCCCCTTGTTTTATTTACCATCAGTCCAAACACTTATAAGTGCCTGCAGACGTGCAAGGCATATGAGAAGACTGTGAGGTATAGAGTTTACAAGAAGAATTTGTCTCCCCTTTGTGTCTTACATCTGCTTGAGACTGATGATGGCACAGATACGTGAAATTGTTAAATAGTGAATGATTCCATGCCAGAAGAATGGTGGAGAGAACAGAATTCATTAGGAATTGAGAAGACTGAATAAGTCTATGGGCAGAGAAGTTCATAGAGAAGATGAAGCCATCAAGGTTAGATGAGCTTTAGATACAGAAAGACCAGAAATGACCAGAGCAGAGCTACTGAAGCAATTAGATTCTTTTGGCCCAAGGTGTATATGGAACATCTTTTAGACAGATTTTGGAATTTTCCTGGATTACCAAGTCTTCTTTTAGTCTCAGTTATGTTATTAGAAGCTGGAAGCACCTGATATATACTTTGAGCAATTGTGTTTAGAAATAAGGGCAAGTTTCTCTTTGGGCCATCCCACACGGGGTTGGGTGCCCTATGGGCACTGTCTTGTTTACTTATCTTTTTGCTTCTCAGTGGTTGTCTTTGAACCAGACTTCTTATGTTCCCTCTTCACGGTGCCTACAAACTTCTAGATTTCTTTTCTTGAAACTCTAGAGAAACTATTTTCTCATCATGGTCACTGATAACTGCCATATTGTGAATCAGTGGTCAGTTTTCAGTCCACACCTTACTTGGCATGGCACGTTTAACACAGTCACCCCCTCCTTCTTGACACATTTTCTTCACTTGGCTTCCCCAACACCGTACTTCCTTGCTTCTCCTCCATCACAGTCAGTGTTTCAGTAGTCTCTGTTAGTCTCCATTTCCAGTTCCACTTCATCTTGGTCTCATAAACTTGGAGTTGCCAGGACTCCCTCCTTTTACCACTTCCTTGTGTCTGCACTGACTCTTGGTGACTTCACTTAGTATTGTTCACACGCCGGTAGCTCACGGATTTGTGTATCCAGCCCTGACTTTACTCTTGAACTCCAGGTGTATGTATCCAGCTGGCTGCTGCCTATTCACTGTTGACTATTCAACATCTCAGCTTTAACCAGCCCCACACTGAACTCTTAATCTCTCCCTCCCCTTCATACCTGCTCAGCCTTTAATCTTTTTCATCTTAACTGAAGACAACTTTCTGGTTGGCGCAGGTTGAAAACCTTGGAGTCATCTGTGAGTCCTTTTCTTCCCTTATATCCAGTCAGGAAATCCTGTTGTCTTTACCCTCAGAATATATCCAGAATCCAACCACTTCTCACTCCCTCCACATCTGACACCCTGGGCTGAACTGCTGTCCTTACCTGAATTGCCGCCACAGCCTCCTAACTCGTCTCCTTGATTTGCGTCTGTTCTTGTACTCCTGTTGTCAGCCAGAATGACACTATTAACATGTTATGTCTGATAATGTACCTGTTCTACTCAGAACCTTACAATGGACATTCCTGTCACTCAAAGTAAAAGGCAAAGTCTTTGCATTCCCCAAAAGGCCCTGCAAGATCAGGACCCTCATTATCTCCTGGACTTCCTCTCCTCCTGTTTTCCTTTGCCAGAAATCTACTCTAGCCACGCTGACCTCTTTGTTATTCCTTGAATAGTCTACGTATATTTCTGCAGTAGGGCTTTGTCCCCTCAGCCTGGCATTCTTTTCCCTGTAGGGGAGGAAAAATAATTCTCCTACCCTTGCAAGTTCTTGGCTGAGACCCCTGTAATGAAAGATTGATTAACCAGAGAAAAACAAACAGTTTAACAGGTATACCTCTTGTGTACGTGGGGGATTTCCAGGGGGAAATGAGTAACTCAAAGAAGTGGCTTAGAACTCAGGCTTAAATATCTTCAGCTAAAGACCAAAGAAAGGTGGGTGTGGGAAGGCTAGTAATGGGGAGGTTGCCAGGAAAAGCTAAGTAAACAAGAGTAACATTTGTTATAGAGATCTAAGTCTGCGTTTTCTGCTTTGATAAAAATTTCTTGTGATTTGGAGTCATCCTTCTCTTCCTGGTACGGAGAGGCAGACACTCTTACAAATGGAGATTTATTTTATAAATTTAAATTTCCTTTACAAGAGAGTAACTTCTGCTCAGTTTTCAGAACTTCTCCTGTGTCTGCTGTTTCTCAAAATAATCAGCTCAAAATAATCCTTACACCAAAGAAGCTATTTTGGAGTGGCATATTCTGCCACTCTTCACCCCCAAAGTAGCCACGTGACTAATTCCCTCACTTCTTTCCAGTCTTTGTCCACATGTCACTTTCTCAGTGAGGCCTGTAATGTCCACCTGTTCAAGATGGCAGTTGCTCAGCCCACACGCACGCCCCGTTTGTTTTGCTCTGCAGTCCCCCTCAGCCGGGGGCATGTATCTTTTGTCATGCTGCGTAATTGACTTACTTTGCATGTTGTTTATCTCGCGCACTGGAAGGTAAGTTGTAGGGCAGGGATTTTTGCCTGGACGCTGCTATGCCTGTCACCTAATTCAGCGCTCAATAAATCGTTGTTGCACGAATGAACGTCCTAGGGCTGCTGTGCATTTGGGCTTATTCTTGTTCAGATTCTTAGGCCTCGTCCCAGAGACACCGTATTACTCAGGTGTTATGGGGGACAGGTCACAGAGGCACCGTCTGTCTAGCAGGTACCAAAATCCCAGACTCCTGGAAGAAAAGCGTTTCACCAATAAGCCGCGTTACACAGACAGGTTGGGCACAGTGGGCCGTTCTTAACCGGTTAGAGGGATGGGAACTCTCCTGCAATCTGAACTCCCAGAGGCCAGCCAGGGCCAACCTCGCGAGCAGGCCCGAGACTTAATCCTTAGAAAGGCCGCTCACAAGATTGGCCCTTGGCTGGCTTCTGGGAACGTGGATTTCTGGAGAGTTCCCACTATCCTGATGGTAACGGTGGCTCGCTGTTGCTTACAGGTGGGGTATGATAACTTCCCTTTTAGGTTCACTGTCTTCATCATGGTATCCAAAGAAGTTTGTTTTTCTTTTTTATGTAGAAGAGAAACCATTTAGACTTATCTCTCTTTAGGAAATTTAGTAATGATTGAGAATGAATTAAAAAGTTTAAGTGGATGCAGTAAGTGAGTTTATTCACTTAGACATATTTTCTGGAAAATGCCTCAGCCGTATTATTCAGTCTATTCAGATTTTAGTAATTACAAAAGCGATTTATTTCATAGTAAAAATTTTGAATTTAATTCAAACAGTAAAAAAATATCTTTCCTACTATTCACTTGAAAGATAATATCTGTGTGACCATGTGTTTCAAAGCAGACACGTTTTCTTCATTTTCCCTCCATCTTTCATGTTCCATCAGGCCAGTTTGAAACTTGCCATCTTGGGGTTTGCTTTTGTGAATAACCAGTCTTCTTCCTTTCTTTTTCTTTTATAGGCCAGGATGCCGAGTTGTCAGGGACACTTTCACTTGTTTTGACACAGTGCTGCAAAAGAATAAAGGATACTGTCCAGAAGTTGGCCTCAGACCACAAAGACATCCACAGCAGTGTTTCTCGGGTTGGAAAAGCCATCGATAAGGTACGTTGTTGGATGGGGTGTTCGGGACGCGTTAGCGTCGTCATCCTTCGTCTCCTGTCACCGCTCCAATGACATTAGCTTTCTCGGGCTGTTTTACTCTGGTCCTTTCATCCTTGCTTTCAGTAGCTGTTGCAGATCTGATTTTACTATGTCATTCGTAAAGTTTTCTGTTGCTATTATTTAAAAAAGCAAAAATAAAAGCTAACGAAAAAGCCTTCTTTTTTTATAGCCTTGTTTTTTTCACCCATTTGCATGTATGACTACCGCTTCTCGTGTCATGATGAGTAAATTTCCAAAGAAATTTTAACTTACTGGAAGGGAGTTTGTTTATAGAAGTAACTTTTCCTGCTTCCTGAGTAATCCCCTGGCTGTGACTCTGCCTCTGTTACGGGATGAGTAGGATAAGACCCTCGCATCCATCCCCCTTCATCGTCCGAACTTGTCTTCCTGTGGGCGCGCTCGCCCCGTCTCCAGTATTGCTTTCTGCGTGAGCAGGTGGGTTGCTCGCCAGCAAGACCAGTCACTGGTGGGGGGTGAATCTTGTGACATCTCTTCAATCTTTGACTTAGTGGTTTCCTTATAAGCAGTTACCATTTTTAGCACTGGGCCAGTTTTGCCCTTGGAGTTCATAGTCTTAGCGGGGCCTAAGAGAAGTGGCTGCAGGTCACTGTGTGATACCTCTGACTGTCTCAGTCATAGGGGAGTTTGTCCTTTTTGTTACGGACATTTTTGTTCACACATTGTAAACTTCCGGGAGGGTAAGGAGAACTTTTGGGGAGAATTCTTTGTAGCAAAACCAGTCTTACGAGCTGTTTCATCTGTATGCATGAAAACATTAACTATAATATACATAGAAAGTCATGGAAGCCAGAGAGTGGCTCTAACTCATGGGTAAATTTCTTTAGGGTGAAGTAACTCCTGGTGGTGTTTAGGAAGCTTCAGATTTTGGTGGCTGATAGTGACCATCCCATTTAGTGATGGCTTGACCACCAGGCTGCCTGCAGTTAGGACAGAGCCTGGGGACAGAGGGACCAGAAGATGCCATGCCAATGAGAACAGCTGAAGCTTTCACAGCAGCCAATCAGAGAAAGTATCTGAGAAAAGATCCCTGCTCTGGGAGCAGGTAAGGGGGGCCTCAGGAGTCGTACCTCAGTGGTGTGGGCTGCTGGTCCCCAGGGTCTGGAGCGTTTGGGCAGATAATTCAAGGGCTTTGCATTGTCATCAGAACCCTCTTCACTCCCTGGCTACTGGTGACTTGCTAAACACGTCTTCCTTCTGGTCTAGCAAGTCTTTACAAATATTTATAAGGGTTGTCAGGTATTTTGGCTAATCTTTGAGACAAAACATTTAAATATATTTGGTGCTAGAAATGAAAGTATCTTTTTGAGAATGGCTAACAAGGGGACACATAATGAGTCCTCTATATTCTGGCTTTTTTGGTGGGGATGTGTTTGAGGTGAATGTTGCTAATTAAATACTTCACTCATTTCTTTTGAGGACATTTTTTCATGAACTTGAAAGTTATAAGAGCTTTATAAAATAATTTTTTTTTTGGTAGTTGTATGTTCCTGTGAAAGTAGTTTAGGTTGCAGGTGACCTGGATTCTAGATTTTTCTGATCCATCATATGAAACCACACTATTAAGTTGATACCTGGACAAGTATTTGTGGAATTACAGTCCTGGGGCACAGCAGAAAGCTTGGATCTCTTAGTCCAGTTCTCATTGTCTTTCAGTGCATTCTCTCTGATTTTTGGGTGTTTTGAGGGGCATGGGGGCGTCTGTTTAGCCTCAGCTGTAGAGGAAGCTGTTACTGGACGAGAGCTGCCGAGACAAGGTGCGTGAGCTTTTCGCGCACATAAGGAACTCTGTGTGGGCTGTTGTTGTTTCAGACTCCGTTGACTTGAAGTCTTCCTGCTCTTCCAGTTTGCACCTGGTAAATTTGTGCAAGCTTCCGGGGCTGCCTATTGTGAAGGCTGGGTGGACTCATACGGATTGGTGATCCGGATGAAGCTGAAGCCATTGTGGCCCAAGCCTTTAAGCACCACAGCAAACAGCCTTGAGTAATAAGCTGGAATGCTGTCCCGCAGCCTGTGAGCACAGTGTTGTGGACGCATGTTCCCACCCTGCCGAGAGCAGGACCGGGAAGAGGCTGGTGACTCCTTTACGAGCAGGCTGGTTTGGAGTGAGGAACTTGAGCAGATTTTTGAAGTGCTTAAATGCCTTTTTTTTCCTTTAATGTTTTAATGCTTCTTTTAAAGTTCTTTTAGTCATCACTTCGCTGAAAACATAACCAGAAAAGAAGTTTCTGTTGTTAGCCAAGACATTTTCTGGCTTTTAATTATTGCCAACATAAAAAGTTATTGAAGATTTCTGCTGTAACGTGTTGACTGTTTTCAGATACCCATAATATTATCACAATTTAAAATAAATAATATCAACCATTGGATTCTGTGGCAAAAATTTTTGTTAGTGAAAACAAATCATGTGTTGGGTAATTTTTTATTTCCTTATCTATTTTAAGAAAATCTAGAATTCTCTTCTGTTTAGGGTATTTTATTTAGTGTTTTTCTTAGTCTTTTGACTTTTTTCAATTTCTAAGTAAGAAAAGTCAATAAAAACAATTACTGCTTTAAACTTCTGTGTGTGTATGTTATAGCGCTAAGATTTTAAAGTGTCTAAAATTTGTTGTGAGGTAGTTGAAAGCGAAACACATAGTACATGTTCTTGAGAAGATTGTGGTCTAGTCTGGTCATGGAAGAGTGCTTTGTGTACACATAAAAGAACTGAAAAGATCTGAGGCAGCATAAAAGAAGTTTGCATAGGATGGACTCTGCTTATTATAAAAAGTAAAGAGAAGGTCACTGTGTTCTTGATTAATCTAAGGTTTGTGGAGTTGACTTGAAAAAATGGTTAAGATTAGAGCAGCGGAGCCATGAGATATGGTCTTCTGTGCGGCCGGAAGGGAGCTGAACAAGAGATGAGAAAACGGGGGGAAAGGTATAGGTCAAGTGGTAGAGCGCATGCTCAGCACCCGAGAGGTCAAGGGTTCAATTCCCTGTACCCCCTCGAAGCGGAAATCAGTGAGGAAACCTAATTACCCCCCCCCCCAAACAGACAGTACAAGAGCTGAGATAACGCTTGACTCCGGTTAAAGACTCTCAGGGACTGACCTGACTGGAGCGGCTGCGCCTGCCAGGAATAGGGCAGGGTCAGGCCGGGGAAGGCGAGTGATGGAAGGCTGAAGGGTCTGATCCAAGGAGGTTGGGGAAAGGGAGGGAGCGATAAAACCGTTTGAGGATTTGCTTGCCCTCATTGCATAGGATGAAATTAGACCAAGGAGAAGTCAAGAATGGGAAAACAATAACTTACTTACCGAGCAGTGACCGTGTTCCAGGTTCTGAGCTAAGAGTTTTACATACATTTATGGCGCATGATGCACAGACATTATTCCCATTTTACATAGGAGGAAACTATGATTCAGAAATATTAAGTAACATACCCCAGGTCTACAGCGTGGAAATGGTGACTCAAGGACTGGGAAAAGGTCTTACTTAAGAGTTTGTTCCGAAGTACTGTGCTGTATTAGGAAATCATTTAGGCTGGTAATGTTTTAAGGAGGAAAATAATGGTTAAACCACGCTGCCTAAGCTGATCTGCCACTAGATGGGGCATCCACACTGATGAGGCAAAATGATGGCTGTATTAAAAAAAAAAAAGGAATGGAGTACAGCTCTAAAAAGTGAAATATAGAATATTTTAAGATAGTTCCGGGTGAGCCATTTGGAACTGCCTTTTATGTAGGTATGACTGGGGTGTGAGAGGAGAAAAAGGTATTACTCATTAGAGTGGGTATGAGTTCAGATAAGTGCTAGCTCTCAAGTTGTGTTACTATGTTATGGATAAATCCTTATGTAGTGGAGGAGATGTTGCTGTTAATGAAGGAAGAAAGAAAATTTAAAAAACTAGAAAACTTACCCTGAGTAAGAAGAAAAAGAGCTAAGTTGAATTCTGAAATACAGACAATTTGATTTATGTTTTGGGTGGAATTTTTAGAATTCCTGAAAAGGAATAGTTAATGACAAAGTTATTAAAAATACTGAGGCTAGAGGATGAAACAGCTTGCTTGGTCTCGCATCCAAGTTAGGCTGGATTGAGAGGGGAAACGGGCCTTATACCCATTGAGCCGTACCAGCTAATCCAGTCTGTAATTGTATTCAAGTGATTTTAAATTAATGTGTTTATTAATGCCTCTGTTAATGTCCTTTGGTATTTTTGTTTTTCTTTACATTTGCTAAAATGAAGCTCTTTTAAATGTAGCATCAGAAGATTTGGTGGCAAGGCCTGGCTCTCAGATTCAGTAACTGTGTATTGAAGGCTTACCATGGGATAGGTAACTGATAGATAATTTCGTGTCCATTATGTAATTTGGTCCTTAGCAACACTTTGTAAGGTTGGGATTGTGGTCGGCATATGTAGAAGTGAAAACTAAGACTTTGGTTAAGTAACCTGCCTGAGATCACAGAACTAGAGAGCAAATGTGATAAAAAAGCCCAGGTTTTAAGACTTTGAGGAACCTTTCTCAACAGGAGTTCCTTGAAAGAATTAATTCCTAGCGCCCTGAGGGGCATATACATGAATTTCTCTTCTTTGCATCTAGAATGGTAAGAGGTGTGTGTGCCATCTTCGGGAGAATTAGTAAAACAGTCACTCAGATTTCTTTAGTTGATCAGATAAGGAGGCAGTTGGGGAAGCAGATTACCCAGCACAGAAAGGTATGGGAAAGAATTGGGAGGGGTGGGGATGCATATGTGACAGGTGGTTAGATTGTGGGCTATTTTAAGGGTCTTAAAATCCCCGCAGAGTAGTTTGGCATATATCTGACCATGCCACGTTACTCCCCTTTGTTTATAAAGTAAGAACTGACCAGTATGGCATCCCCCTCCCCTTCCTTAATGTCGCACAACCAACCTCTCTCTTAACTCTGAAAACTAGAGTACGCGTGCCATACAGAGGAGAGACTGGAGCATCTGAAAAGGACACAGTGTCTGTAAGCGCTGATTACAGCGTGCGACTTAATGTGTTTTCCTGCGCAGCGTTTGCAGAGCACCGCTGTCTGCTGTGTGCCTCAACGTGGATTATTTTATCAGAGGGCACGCACCTCATCATCAGCTTTAGTGAGTTTGCTAGTATTACCAATTTTTCCCTAAAGGATTCGTAACGACTTACTATCCTACTGAACATGTACATAACGGTTGCTATTTCCTCAGTTCTCTTACTTGTGGTTGGGGAGGTGGTTATTAGGTTGGTTGGTTTGTTTAATTGATTAATTTTAATGGAGGTGCTTTGCTGTGCTGGGGATTCAACCCAGGACCTCGTGCATGCTGAGCACACACTCTGCCACTGAGCTATACCCTCCACCCTGTTTCCACAGTTCTTACCTGCACTTGGTATTGGCAGACTTTTAAAAAATGTAAATCAAACAGATGGATATGAAATAGTGAACAGTTGTATTAATTTGCATCTCCTTCATCGTTTCTGAGGTTCAGTGTCTGTTTCATCTGGTGGACCATTAGCATTTTCTCCCTTTTGAATTTCTTGGTAATTGTCCATTTCTTAACCTCCTTTGGTTTCTGATCTTTTGTGGGTTGTATGTGAAGCAGATATCTTTTCCCAGCTACATGGAACCAGAATCCAGGTCTTCTTGTTCTGTGTTAAATATTCTCTGCAGTGTACCTCTCACTGCTAAATCAGATTAACTGGATGCTTGGAAGGGAAATTGATTCCTGGTAGGTGCAACAATAGCACATTGTTGGGTTCACCTGCCATTTTTCTTCAAAAGTAGATGGAGAAGTTTAAAGAAAATTAACAGTATTAAAGAATTGGCACTTAGGAATTAAAACAAATACTTTTATCATTACTGTTGTCACTACTTGCTCAATAATTAAAATTTCATAAAATGTGTTTCAGAAATGGATTGTTTTGGGTGAACACTGAAAGTCCGTCCTTTAATCTAACCAGTTTGTGAGTATGTTCATGATATGGCCAAAGAGGTATTCAGATTTCATAGTTTCATGATGGTGTTTTGTTCAAGTTATTTACTTCTGCTCTGCCTAGCTTCCAGAAACTTAATCCATCAAATATGGGAATGATGCTAAAAGGTACATGAGATGGTATACGAATCTGTGTGTCCTAGGTTCCTCTTTTTAAGCTGTGGCATCTTTTGTAGGCAGACACCCCCCTGAATGTGTGCTTTTTTGCTTTTGATTTCTTTTTGAATCCTGCCTTCACATTTAAGAACATCTTTGCACATTTTCTTTCCTTTTTTTCCTCCTTTAAAAACATAAAAGGAAAAAGTATAGTAAGACAGAAGTGCTGATAAGCAGATGTTTCTCTTCACGAGCTACTTCTTGGCTGGTTTGCCGGGCTGCTGACTTCCTGGGCAGCCAAGCAACGAGTTTGGTCACCTAGCAACAGCGGCTGGAACTGATCCTTGCTCTGATGCAAGAACGTGCAGTTTTAACAGAAGAAGTTCTGATACGATACCGCATTTCTTCAACTTGTTTTTACAATTTTAGCTTATATTTTTACTACATGTGAGCAGAAAATAAGCTATGAATAAAGTTTACTTGTTGACCTCAGTGATTTAAACTGAAAAATCACAATGGTAGACGGGAGCTCAGAAATGTTCATCTAATGCCTTGCTTGTTCATGCTTAGTCGTATTTTCCAAGACTAGCAAATAAGTTGTAGAACTTGAATGTAGTAGAGATACTCTGAGTGTAAGAGTGTTTGATTTTTCTTACCACGTGTGTAGTAGTGATGATATATAAAGATACATGAAGAGCCTCTTTGTGAAATTTTAAATTTGTTTCAGTGTTAGACTCTTACATTTTGAAGTTTTCCAGATGATCAAAATTTGCTTTTTGTATATATATTAAGGAAAGATTTGAAGGGATTGTTTTGTTTGAGCAGTTACTGTCTGGTGGTAGCTATTAAAATTCTGACTTAATGTATACTGCCAAAAAAATTATTTTAATATGGTCTGTCCTTTGAACTGACCACTGTGTCTTACAAAGTTGTTTTATTTCTTCCCTGCAGAATAGACACCTGATAAATTTACTGAGGGTGGATGGGATTGAGGGCTCATCATTAAATGAATAAGTAGAAATCTGAAGGTCGTATTTGGATTGAATGGGGTTGAGAGATCAGTGAGGCATCCTCATCAGTCTCAATGATTCTTGCTTACAGGGTGGACTCAGACCTATTTAGAGAGTCCCAGGCAGATTCCTGACTTTGTAATAAATTCTGCAACCTTCAGATACCCATCCCTTTATTCATTTGAATGGCCGTTCATCTGGGGGAATAAAATATGGGAGAGTGTGTGTGACATCAGTCCCCCTTCTGGGCCTCTGCCTTAGTCCAGTAGCATCATCGTCACTTTCAGTGTTCTCATTGTCATGGGAGCATAAAGATACAGTCATTTGCTTAAAAGTATTGATGAATTGTTACGAAATCATCTCAACAGGCAGAATCTGATAAGCAGGTAGGAAATTAGAGAACTTTATTGAAGCAGTTCTGACTTTTCTTCAGTGCTGGATTCAGTCTATGCAGTATGGGCGTCTAGGTACTCTGTGTGATTTACATTCTTCAGGCCAAGCAAGAGGTCTATAAAAAGAAAATGAATAAAAATTAAGGCGCTGAGAGTAATTTTGCTTTTTTGTTTCTGTGCGAGTAATCCCAAATGTTAATGTGTATATTTAGTTTTAGGCTACTGACTTGACATCTAAGAATAGATAGCTCTTTAAAGAAAAACGGGCTGAATTTTGGAGAGGCGAGCTCTCCTGCGCTGTAGTGACTGCAGATGGTTGGTGGTTTGCAGTTTCTGTTGCAGGCTGCTTACTGCCTGTCCTTGTATGTGCTGTAAAATAGCCCTGTGTTGCTTGGACTGTATTTAAGCAGTGATTCACTGAGACTGTAATTTCAGTTAAATCTAAATGATCTCATCTAGTTAAATTTATGGGTTTGGAATAAAAAAAAAGGAAATGTAAGAGTTTTATCAGGGGGTACTGCCTTTGTCCCTGAGAACAGAAACTAATATAAGTTCAGACTGCGTTGAGATGGAGGTGCGAGAAAACGGAGGGAGGAGAGCATGGGATTGCCCGTGTTCTGTGGGTGGTCGCAGGGCCCGTTCCTGTTCCCCGCGCCGGGGCTGGAGGCCGTCTCCTGCAGCTCCCCGTCCACGTCCGGCGCCCCGTGCTGGGTTTTAGCTGCACTGCATCCAGGCTGAGGGGTGTTGGGGGAGGAGAGTAGTCGGCTCACCACCGGTTCTTTGCCTTCCTCCCCAGTCCGCTTACTCCTGTTCACTTTTCAGTTTCCTCGGGTAGCTAGTCCTTTCAGGCCTGATTCGGTAACCGCATTCAGTGGGGGAGACGGGGTGGGATGTGCTTTCTCTGTCTTACCAGAACCCGAACCCTCAACACTTGTGCTGTATCGAATCTTTTAGCTTTTGCTATGAAAGGAATGTTTGCTCTTTGCGTGGAGAGTGGTAGTCTCCAGTGATAATCTTTGCTAATACTTTAGTGTATATATTCTTCCAGATTTTTCCCATAAGCATTTCCACGTTTATTTTTTTGTTGTTATTTTCATTTTTTTTTTAAGCAGAAATGGGGCCATAATTTTGTAGAAGTTGCTGTTTTTCACTTTAGGTGTTTTGGACATTCCTCCATGTTAGTAAATACAGAGCAACGAAGCTCGCTTTGTAATTGTAAATAGTAATGCCAGCGTAGTAGCAGCTACATTTATTTAACCACTAAGGGAGTCTGTTCATTTGCCAGGGTTGCTGTAGCCTGGTGTCCCAGCCTGCCTCCTTGTGTCATTACGTGGTGGCTTCGTCTGCTTGGGCTGCTGCAACAAAATTCCAGAGAGAGACAGGAGCACCAGGCTTACCAGACTAAGGCCCCACCCTTATGACTTAATTTAACCTTTATTGCCTTCTCCCAGACTCTGTCTCCAAATATAGTCACACTGGTTGTTAGGGCTTCAACGTAAGAATTTGCAGGGGTGGGTGAGCGGAAACACAGACATCTGGTCTGTAGCACACGGTTTTCCCTCTGTACCTGTCTGTGTCCTCATTTCGTCTTTTTATAGGGATACCAGTCGTGGTGGATTAGGGTTCACCCTGATGGCCTCATTTTGTAAGGCACTGGAGTTAGGGCCTCAGCGCAGGAATTGTGAGAGGAAGCGGTTCAATCTGTGGAGGGAGGGGCTGTTAATTTCTCCACTTATGTAAGGAAGCAGAAGCTCGAGGACCTTAAGTGATTTGGCCACGGTCACGTAGCTAGTAAGATAAAACCAGGATTCAGACCTGGGGAGATTGGCCCCAGAGCCTGCTCTCTTACCCACCTGGCCATCCTCCTGTTCCCCACCCCACCTTGGCACTGCAGCTGTTAGGATGGACCGTGGATTGTTTAATACCCTTTGTTGGACATAATGGGTTTTCCCCCCCTACTAGACAGTGATGCATTGAACATGGTTTTACCTCCGAAAGTATTGCCATTGTACAACGCCTAGACATCAATTTGTTGACAGAAGTTGTTATTAAATTTATTTTTCCAAGATGCCCTCAAAATGTGTTTATTTACTCTTTCGGCAGTAATCATTGAGAGTGACAGGTTTTAGGAAACCATTTCCTGACGTGGGCAACAGAAATCGGAATGGGTACTTACTGGAGGTGCCTCGGCGTGAAACGCAGGCCGTTCTTTCTGTTAAGCAGGCGAGGTGAATACAGAGTGATCTATCCTGGTCAGTTCATGATTCACTTTCTTTCTTTTTTCCAGAATTTTGATTCTGACATTAGCAGCGTGGGGATAGATGGCTGCTGGCAGGCGGATAGCCAGAGGCTCCTCAACGAGGTGATGGTGGAGCACTTCTTCCGACAGGGAATGCTGGACGTGGCCGAGGAGCTCTGCCAGGTGACGTGTGTCCGCCGGGCGGGGGCGGGACGCAAACAGGGGCGTTCCTCGCGGCTCTTAAGTCTTCTAGCCACAGATAGATTTTTAGTATTAAGCATCAGGGCTGACCTCATTTGATTAAGAAATCTTTTTTTTTTTTTTAATAAATCGGTGAAAATGATAGTCCTAGAACTTGTTATTCAAATTATTTCCTTATTCCTGCCCAGGACATTGGTCCCGGGTTATCAATAGGATCAAAAGTGATGCAACTTTTTCAAACATTTCCTCTTTTGATAGGGAGGTTTAGTATAGCAGAGAAGAAAAAAGGACAAAGAGGTTTATGTTTGTTCTTCTGATCTGGCCCAGCTTAAAGAATTTTTATTGGAGTGAAGATAGTTTACAATGTGTCAGTTTCTGGTGTACAAGAATTTTGTTTATCAAATGAATTTCAAGCTAAAACTTCAAGCTAAAGTGAGAGATATATGTCTTTTATTTCTGTTAGACAAGATAGCTCAGAACAGTTTACCAATACCACATAGTCATAACATTGGCAGCTGCCCTGTACTGAGTATTTACCACCAGCCAAGCCCTGCCTTTGTTCCTCACTGCAACCGTGTAAGAAATCATTGCTCCCATTCTATAGATGAGGAATCTGAGGTCTGGAGAGGTAACCTGCCCAAGGCCATACAGGTTCTTAGTGGAGGAACTAAGATTCAGTTCCAATTCATGTCTTCAAATTCTGTTCTAAGCCACTGTGTACTATTGTATTTTCCATTTAGAGAGATGGACCATAAGGATTAAATAATTTAAAGCCAGTCTGTAAACCAAACCTCTAATCTAAGCCTTTTCTATTTTAAACAGTTCAGATGAGCAATAGCTCAGGTCTTTCTCTGTGCATTATGGGATTTTGTGTGTGTGTTCATATAAATTTCCTGAAGTGAATTGTATTATCTAGGATTAAGTTTGTTTACAAGTAACAAAGACCCACCATGCCAATGGCTTAAACACAAATGAAGTTTGCTTCTCTTACACAGAAATAGGAGGTAGTAAGCCACCCAGAGCATGGGTGGCAGCTGTGCCCCGTGAAGCTCTTAGGACCCAGGCTCCCGTAGCTCTACTGTTTCTAAGGTGTCCCTGCCTTCCTGGTCCAGGGTAGCCAGAACCCCACTGGTCCCTTGTGTATTCCAGGAAGGGGCGAAGAGTGTATGTTTATTGTGTTTCATTGGCCAGAACTTAGATCTTGCAAAACCATGCTCAGCTTTATTCCACGTGGTATGCGCCCAGCTAAAATTTGGGGTTTTGCTGCTAAGAAGAATGATACTGAGGCCCAGTCATCAGCCTCTGTTGGAGAAGTTTGTGTTGAAAAGAAATTATCTTTAATGGCTTGCCTCATTTTATGATGTAAAGTATGCTTTTACCATATCTCTTTACTCTGATTCCTGCTAATGAAAGTTCTTTTTATTTTTTCAGGAATCTGGTCTTTCTGTGGACCCAAGCCAGAAAGAACCTTTTGTGGAGTTAAATCGAATATTAGAAGCATTGAAAGTCAGAGTTCTGAGACCTGCTCTGGAGTGAGTTACTGAGTTTGTTTTCTTTTGAATATTCTGGAGAACTCTCTGTAAGAAAACGTAATTAGAAAACACAGAGACTTTGAGATGTATAAATATCTATCTCTCTCACCTGGGGTAGACTTCAGAGAAATCAAGGGAGAATGATTTCTTTGAGCTAAGTGAATTTGGGGAATATGCAATATGAGAAAACGGTTAGAGCTTACTTCACTTATCAGTTGGTCTGAATTCCCATGAGAGAGGAGGGTTTCCTGTATCCAGACTTTATGACCACTTTAGACTAGCATTATAACTGAAGTACTGTTGTTCACCTGGTTTGAATTTGATATTTGAACTTCCATAATGCACTGGGTTCGGTGTTAGCATTTAAAAAAAAAACAAAACATTGGCTATTGGTACTAAGTGCTATACACAAAGAGAACAAATAACGTTACAGAGTTTTGCTCTAATTACCACTGTAAAACTGAGTGATACACTGTGAACTTGTCGTTGATGTGAATTATCTGAGATCACTGGGTAAGCTCTGATAAACATCATCCTAGAGCAGGATTGGCAATGTTTTCCATAAAGGACCAGATAGTCAGTGTTTTAGGCTTTGCAAGACACATGAGGTCTCTGTTGCATGTTTTTCTTTATTTTATTTTACAGCCCTTTAAAAGTGTAAAAACAAAAACAAAAACAAAAAATCATCTTGGCCATCTGGCATACACACAGGCAACAAGCCATATTTGGCCCTTGGCCATAGTTTGCTGAGCCCTGTCCTAAACTAATGTGGGGATTATCAGGTTATTTTATTTTATTTTATTTATTTATTTTTTAGGTTTTTTGTTTTAAAAAGAAGATAAGCATGAAAGGGAGGGAGGGAGGAAGGGAAGTTACAAAATAAAAGAAAGAAGCTGGATGAAAGAGACAGTGGCATTGTTGTGAGGCTGGAGCCTTAGGATCCTGGTGTTTTAAGACTGGAAGCATTTGTGATCATTGTCATCAGGAAAAAAAAGTTGGAAAGATCCTTGCTGGTTTTTATAAAATGCACCCCCCCCCACTAACTCACTTGATTCTTCATAGCTTTATTTTCTGTTTCTCATCATTTCTCAGTTCTTAGAAAATTTTGCAAAGTTCTAAAACCAGCTCGGATAAATAGATAGATTCCTGTTGTAAATTTATAAATTACAAATTTCTGTATAAATTGTAAACATGAGGTAATGCATTTATTTTAATTCTTTAAAGATAAATGTTACTTAAACAGCACCATTGTGTACTATGCATATTAATTACCTTTATAGTTCATTTGATTTTTTTTAAAGTAGATTTTATTGCAACATGCCAGTGGGATTATGTTTAATTACCTCTAACATCCCTTAAAAAATAGCAGCCACTCTTGTGTTTTCATGTTTAACCTGTGTGATTACACACCTGTAAAAGGAGAACAAAAGAGCCTAAATATAAAACTGTACCGGGTTTCCCAGTTGTTTTGTAAGTGATTTAGAAACAATGTATGAGTTGCTATTTAAGGGAGTGTTTGTATATCCATTAGATTTCTCAGGGTTTTTCGTCAAATTTTTATTGCATACTTACTATGTTACCAGGGACTGTGTGGAGTAATCGGACTGCCTTAGCCCTCAAAATACTCAAGGCTTTTTTTCCTTTTGGAATGAAGATTCATAAGACCCTTTTAACTTTGTGCTTTTTCTATAAGATTTGGATTTCTTACTGATAACTGCGTCACATAAATCAATCATTTCTGTAAATGGTTTTTGTTATTTGTAGCCTCAAGCAGTGTCTCTCAGGCAAAAGGAGGCCTCGTTCCACCCACTTGGCAGTAGCAGTGGAAATTACTGTACAGCCTGTCCCTGGGTACCCCGAGGGATTGGGTCCAGGAACCAAAATTTGTGGATGCTCAAGTCCCTGATGTAAAATTTGGCCCTCCATATCTGCAGGTTCCACATTCGTGGATACGGAGGGCCAGTTCTACAATAAAAATGTTCTCAATTTGCTTTTCCAGGAGTATTGCCCTGTTCAATATCCGCACGTGGGATATAGTGATAATGATATTTATCTCTTCTTAAGAGTGCTTATTACATGCCTAGCATTGTTCTAAGCCTTTTACATGTATTAACTTATTCAATCTTTATAATTCGCCATGAAGTAAGTACTTGATTTACAGAGGAGGAATTGAGGCCTGGAAGATGTTCCATGAAAAAAAGGACATGGAATCAAAAGGTTATTGGAGAAAAGCTTCGCATGATATTCTCTAATACTCTCCTCTGAGAGATTACAGTGAAGAACTTAACTGTGTAAAACCCAGTGTTTCCCACGCACGTTTAACCAGAGTCCTTGTCTCCCCCAACCCCCAGTAACACCTACTGAAACTCACAAAAGTAGAATTCTGTAGAACGTAAGTTTGGAAAATGTTTGTTTAATAGAAATCTCCATTACAGCAAGTCACACATTTCCAATTCTTGCCTATTATTGGTGGATGCAAAGCAAATATTTCCTCAACATCTTTTTGGGCAAAGAACAGAAAATTCACTGTACTCAACTTGTACCAAAAGTGGAAAAATATGGGGCATGAGTTTGGGGAATTCAGGTTCAGACATAAGGAGGAAAGTCTTTCCTGTTTCACATGTGGCATCTTCTCCTGGCACCTGCTGGGAGGAGGCATCGTGGGGCCACCCCAGGAGAGAGAGAAGGTGAGCAGCAGTTCCAGGCAGCCTGTGCAGTGGAGGCAGAGACCAGCCAAAAAGGGTACTGTGGAAAGGGGCCATGGAAGGACTAGATGAGAATGAAGTCTGGTGGGTGCTGGCTATCGACTGCAAACAATAAAAGACCATGGAAAGAAGGCAGTAAAGAATGGTGCCTGGCAGAGAGAAGTAACAGAAGAGCAGCTAACGAGAGATGCAGATGTAGTCTAGGGTTCTGCCCACCCTTTTGTTCCTGCTCCTATATTTCTGAGTGTGGGTACAGGTTTTTCTTGTCATCCAGATGGCTTTATCTATTTTTTTAAAATTCCTTTTGGCACCTAGCATAGTGCTTATTTCACAGGAGGCACTCAATAAATGATAGCATAGTTCGAAGGAGCACTTTGAACAAACATGACCTCCTGCTTCATGTGGCAGATAGAAGCAAAGCCAGAAATAACTAATGTCAACAGAGGATAGCAGAAACTTACTACGAGGAGATGGAGAAACTTTAGAAGCTGTCCTTGTAGCTCTGTGCCAACCAGTTATTGACTTTTGGAAAGTGCCGTCTTGAGGGGAAGCCAGTTGGTTGCCTTCCTAACGGTGTTTCAAAGAGTAATATTACCTTGGTGGATTTGCCGCAGGCTAGGATCTGACTTTCAACCTTGCAGACTTAAAAATCTGTCTCTTTCAACACTCAGGCCTCCCAGCGCTAGTTCACAGGAATATGCAGTTCTGTTTGCAGAGCCTCAGCAGAATGCCATGAGGGGACAGAAACTAACTGAATGATTACAAGAAAGAGATAGAGAAGTTACAGAGTATTTCACAGAAGAGAGACAAGCTGTTCTGTTAGACTGGCCCGGCCATGAGCAGTACCAGGCGAGCCTGGTGAAATTCGAGAGGGCTCCATCCCTAAGCCTAGCGATTAGGTGAGGCTAGAAATAACAACCACAGGGGAGGTGAGATGAGCTTGCCTTGTGGCTTCTGGGTGGAGTGTGAACGGTGTTCTGAGGAGAAGAAAGTGCTTGCTGGACTGAGAGAAATGGTGGTATCAATGACTGAAACACAGTTCAACAGCACAGAAAGGTTTTAGGAAATCAAAACGAAGGGAGCCAGGCCGAGGTGCCCAATCGCTGAGCCTGGACTGCCGCTGGGAAGGAGGGTGACACCTTTCAGGTGTCCATTTTCTCCTTATTAGTTCTGGCTTCCTGTAGGTGGGCGGCCTTGCTGGTTCAGGCGTCTTTAACAGCCATGTAGAACCGCAGAATAAGGAAAGCTCTGATGGATGTACCATTGGAGAAAAGGAATCAAGGTCTGAACAAGTTTGATCCCCCCCCCACACCGTTTGAGGGTTTCTGTTTTGTTTTGTTAAGTGGTGGGGGTTCTTAATTCTGAGTGGGCGGAAGAGGTGAGCTGAGGAATACGTTTTTAACCCACTGTGCCTGTGCGCTGAGTCTGGTGCTGTAGGAGCGACTCTGCTAAAAAGAAGCTGATTGAAAATGGAAAGGGGTGCCCCGGGGGAAGAGTACAGAAGGAGAAGCAGCACAGTGGAATATAGAGGCCAAAAGAGGAGAGAGTGCTTGGGGTGGTAAAACCACTTTCAGTTGTCTGTTTCATGTTTGTTGCTGGCCCAAGTCTGTATGAAGTTCAAGGCAGTGGATACTCCTCAAGAGAAGGAGTAGACCTGGCCGTCTCTCCTCTGGATCCAGCCTCACCAAGGACTTGAGCGCTACTGGAAAGGGGTGGGCAAGCCATGACTGTAGAGAGATTGAGAATCATCTTTTAAAAAAAGGGGAAATTGAAATGAACTATTCCTGAGGACCAAAACTAGGCCAGGAAGAGGAATGAAAGGGGCCCTCTGGAATTTGTCCTTATAAAATGCTGACCTCTTACTAATTTAGGCTTATGAAGCACTTGGTGTTGTGGTAGGAAATGGGCACTAAATAAGGCAGTGTCATACTTCATAAAATCTGCAGAACTGTGCTGTCCTGCATGGCGGCCACTTGTCACATGTAACTGTTGGGCACTTCTGCTGAGCTCTGCATGACTCAGAGCCTCCTGTAAAGTTGAAATGTGAATATTGTTTAAGTAGATTCAAATGCATACCTATTGAGTTGACTTTTTCTTAAATAGCACGTAAGAAGGACAGAGATTTACACCAACTCTGAGATGAGTGAAATGTTAGTGGTTCCAGCGATGGAGTCAACTCATATATGAGAATTTACCACCTGAAAATATCTCAGGAATGAAATGAAATGTCTCAGAAATCCTAAAGCAGAGTTACAGGGTTCTTTTTTTGGCTGAGCTTGATTTTTGCCTGTCTCTGAATTTTTTAAGCACGTGATTCAGTCACCAGTGCCATTCAGGCAGGTCCACAACTGTGGAGTAAATAATGTTACTCGTTTCCCTGAACTTCAGCTTTTTTCCCCAAGAAGATAGTTCTAAGATAGATTAGAAAAAGAAGATATTTGTAAACCTTTAAAAAAAAAACTGCCATGAAGGATTGTAGCGGAACGTGCTGTAAGAATTGGCAAGAGGTGTTTTTATTCAATATTACCAGAAATGGACACCAACCCAGGTCAGCAAAATTGTGAGAGAGAAACAGACGAATGCTGTCAGTTAGGTTCCTGGGGACGAACGGCTGACTGTGATGGTGGAACCTGTTTTATTTAATTATTTTGGGAGTAATGTGGAAATTCTAAATATGGAGCTAACAGTGGGCCAAGTCTTTTTGGAGGCCTGACAGTTAGGATAATTATTGCTTTGCGTTTCTGTGCGACAATTGATTAGCCATGGGTTGATTTTAACTTAGTCACCAAAGTAAGTAGTATTGTCTTGAGGTCTTTTTATGGAAGAGGCCCAGAAGGTCTGCTTATTAGGAGAATGCAGTGGCATTGAACAGAGAGAACTGTGACAGTGATGGCCTTACTGGGTTTAATTTTTTTTTGTCTACAGTGTTTCTCTGAACACAGAATGGTTTCAAAGCTGACAGTGCTCTTGGGGCCCACACTGGAGATTAGGGAGCTGAGTTTCTTGTAAAAAAAACTACTGTAAAGTTAGTCATGTAACTGAATGTTTAATTAGCTTGCTGGTTGTAGTGTAGTGGTGGTTAAGTTTTTCAAAAATTAAGGATCAAGAGTTTTCTGCTAGAAATGCCATTAACCAGAGTACAGCACCTCTTCCCGTAACAGCTCATTAACTAGTTTTTTGTCTTCCTGGTCACGTGTCTTCTAGGGCCTTGTAGGCAGGTGGATGAGTACGTTTTTGGTGCCAGTTTTGGTTTTATGCTTTTGTGGTTCTTGTGTTTCGTAGGTTTTGGATTTGGTTGTATCAGGTTAATTAAGGCTGTGACTGTCTTCTGCCCCTTAGTCCTGCTCAGTGAATCAGATACCCAGATATTCAGTGTGAACTTCCAGCTGAGAAAACTTCAAAACTTTTTGAAGAGGATTAACGTACACATGCTGATGGATCCTATTCCCACAGAGTTGATTCTGTAGGAATCCAGGCTGCACTGAGTATGACATGGGAGTGCCCAAGGAACTCTTTTAAATATAATTTTCTTATTGAAAATATGGTCCTGGAGAACATTAGTCTTCATCCATTCAGTTAACACACATTAAATAGCTTGTTACTGAGTGTCTGTGTCTGTGTGCCATCTCTGCGGTTGGTGCTTTAACTACCCCGTCATTTAATGCCCACAACCCTTTGAGTTGCCCCCATTTTATCTGAGAGCAGCAGGGAACAGGTTGCCCAGGTTCAGCAGCGCAGCGCCGGGGTTAATCCATGCCCGCCTGGCCCTGCTGACCTGCGCTTTCCATGGGAGGGGTGCCGAGGTGAGCAAGGCAGAGCCCCTCCCTCCCTCCAGGGACTAGAAATGGTCCTTCCATGTAGACTGTGTCAGGAGCCATGAGAGAGATCTGAATAAAGAACTAGAGTTCTGTGCATGGAGAGATTGTTAAGAAACTTGTAGAGAATGCTAGGGCCTGGCATTTTTCAGTTCTGTTTTCAGCTACTCAGTTTGCGTTTGATTGTCCTTTTGCAAAAATATAACAAACACTTACATTGGGAGATAGGACCACGGCTTCTAATTTCAGAGGGGACAAGTCTTCCTTCTGGACACATCACTGTTGATGGTAACACAAGCTGCCAGACCAAGTTGTCTGAAGATGCTTTGCGTGGTTTTCTTGGCCTGCACCTCTCTCCCTCTGTTCTGTTCTCAGCAGGCCTCTTATTTTCCTCTTTTAATTCTTTACGCCACGTGACAAATGCCTCTGATTGATCCTGTTGGCCAGCCACTGTGCTGCGCCTCCTGTGTTGTGTAACTTCCTTCTGGGCATAAACCTCTCTCTGGGCTTTTCCAGCGCAGCTGTCCCTCCTCTCACGGAGAAGAGTGGAGGGGCAGAGAGCCCGGTGCTGCTGGGTTCAGTTCCTCAAAAGGCCTAAAGGGCCTTCTTTGCCTTCATACAGTAATCTCCTGTCGCTGAGATCCTTATGTTTTTTTCTGTCCTATTTCTTTTCTCTGCTGAACCTGTGGGCGGTCCTCTCTGCACAATTCCAGTATGCTCAAATTCATTTACCACAGTTGGGTTAAATAACACCGATTCCCCAGCAACACGGTTCAAATTTGTTTCCACAATGTATTAATTGAATGATTGCATAAAACACAAACTCTTTGCCAGCGCTTCAGTCCGCAGCTCACCACGTAAGTAACACGTGTGCATCGTGATCACAACCGGTCGCATTCCTGCTGCTTCGGTCTGCCGGTGACTGGTCACAGTCCATGCTGTGGTCCATACATGACATCCAACTTCGCTGGAGTCATTACTGATAAAAATTCTGATGACTGGAAGTTTTTTTTTCTATATAGCACGTCTTTTTCCCCCTTTAACATGACATCGTGGACATTTCCCTATAAAAATGAAATTGATTTTTTTCTTCTTTTGTGAATTGCCCACTTACGGACTTTGTCCTTTTCTGTTGTCTTTCATCGGTTACTAAAATTTGTAGTTACTCTCTGTTAGCTCCCTTCTTTGACTATTGCAAACTCTTGTGCGTATGCCTCATATCAGAAACAGAAAAAGGAAAAGCTCACTGCCTCTTCTTACGTGTTAGTAGGAAGGATGCTCACGCTTCTACGAGTGAGAAGAGGGTAGGAAAAATTTATGGTAAGTGACCTGATTTAAGTACATTTCCTGGGATCTGAAGTCAGGCAGGTGCCTGGCAGACTGGAGAATGCCCAGAGCACAGTCCTTTTGGTACTGATGGCCGGTGCTGGGCATTCACAAAGGAGAGCTGCTGGAGTTCCCTTGTGGGTGTCGGCAGGATTCACCAGACTTGGTGTTGCAGCTGGACCACATTAATCTAGTGCCAGGTCAGGATCCAAGCCGTACTTAAATTTAAGTAAATATTTCCAAGGTCCAAGTAATTAATATTTTAAAAAATCACTTTGATTTTTGAGGTCAGAGAAGCTTCATGCACCAGCAAGTGGACTGGAATATTTGTATGCATGTGCAGCCCTTTCGGGGAAGGGTAGGTTCCGGTGAGAGTGCAGCTCTGTGAAGTCTAATCCCAGTCAACTGATTGACTATGAGTAACTTGAAGCATTTCACTCTTGCGGTTTGTAGGATAACTCGGTAGTTCAGATCCTGAGGGTCCTTGGTGAATTAGGTTAACTGGGGAGTATTTGTCCAACTAAAGATCAGATTAAAGAAGGTGATACTGACATCTTCTGCATGTCAATGTGTTAGAGAAATAAAGCAGTGCTTCTTAACACTTGCTTGCAAGTGTGATTTTAACACCTGCTGATACCCTTTTCGGCTGAGTGCTTACCTTAAACTGGTAGTCCCGTCTCCAGATTGGTTATTCCAGCTGTTTGGACTAGTGCGTGTTGTTCTTTCCCGCGTTAGCACTGTGTACACATCTTTTTGGCAACGTGTGCTACACTGTGTGGTATTCCTGTAGCTTTATCTACCTGATTAGAATGAAAGCACTTTGAGAGCAAAATACCTGTGTTTACTGTTTTTCGTCTCAAATCAAGTAGCACAAAATCTTGCACGAGTGGAAGTTTAAAGATAGATGGAATCAGACTCTTGTGATTCGATTATGGACATGCCGGTTTAACGGGCAGGGAGTATCGTGGATATAAGCAGCGAGCAGTCAGCCTCCTGGCTGCCACTTGCTTCAAAGTGTAGCTTTGTACAGTCCCAAATATGTCAGAGTCAGTCTTGTCTTGGTGTAAAATTGTCATCTAACTTAATATTTTTTCTTTCTTTCACTGGCTGAAGAGCATCTCTAGATGCAGTTTTTTTGCAAATAGAAGTGCCTGGGCCAGGGGGTTGTTGTTACCACTGACTCCCACAAGATGGCAGACTAAACCCGTTTTTCGTGTTAGGGTTCAGACAGTTTTTCACACACATGGCTGTGCTCATAATTACTGTTCAAATCTTTCTTGGTTTTTTTTCAGATGGGCAGTATCCAACCGAGAAATGCTTATAGCCCAGAACAGCTCCTTGGAGTTTAAGCTTCACAGACTATATTTTATTAGCTTATTAATGGGCGGAACTACAAATCAGCGAGAGGCATTACAATATGCTAAAAATTTTCAGCCATTTGCCCTAAATCATCAAAAAGGTGAGTCTAGAGTCAGGTTGTTCTTTAGTGTTTGGAGCAGGTCTGTAGCCGCCACAGGAATTTAAGTTGTCTTAACTAGATCTGATAGATACTCGGTAATAAACTGAGACAGTGGTGGATGCTCGTCACTTACCGCAAGAGCTCTTGACTGGCTCTGGAACAAAAGTAAAATGTTACACCCTCGTAAGTGCAAAGTCAGGGACATTGCATTTTTGGAGAGTCTGTGTTAAACTAAGAGGAGACAGAGTGAGGCGTTCTGCACTCACTGCCCCCCCACCCCCACCCCCGTGTTGTCGTTGCCACGGGCGCCCCGGGTGGCGGCACTTAACCCCGAGTGGGGTGTGGGAGGCCTGGCTGGTTTCACAGCTAGAGATGCGTGGCGGCCCCGTTTGTGACAGGGTTGTTACTGCTCCTCTAGATGATGGTAATTAAAGTAATTTTAAGTTCAGTATTTAGTGCTTTCATTTTTTCCCTCTCTTTTTCTTAATGCTGCTTCTTTATTAGAAACCAAGCTTAAGGACCAGAATTTTATTTTATTCATTAAAACTTTTTAAATTTATTTTTCTGGGTGGGGATTTCTTTGGTTATTTATTTATTTATTTTTTAACATGAAGACACTGGGGATGGAACCTAGGACCTCGTGCACGCTAAGCATGCGCTCTACCACTGAGCTATCCCCTTGCCAAGGACCAGAATTTTAAAAGACGTTGTTAGTCAGTTATTTGGGGCTATGTCAATATACTTGTGGAAATTTTGGTCTTTTCGGTGAATTCCTTGCAAGCTCCCCTTCAGGTGTGATCACTCACTCCTCCAAACTGCTGCTGCTTTTGTTCAGACATTCAGGTTTTGATGGGAAGCCTCGTGTACCTGAGACAGGGGATCGAGAACTCGCCATATGTTCACCTGCTTGATGCGAACCAGTGGGCTGACATCTGTGACATCTTCACGCGGGATGCCTGTGCCCTCCTGGGGCTCTCCGTGGAGTCCCCCCTCAGTGTCAGGTATGGAAACTGGTCTTGTCTGTTACTGAGACACTCATTTGGTCAGTTCTGTCTAATTTGTTGTCTGGTTCTTGATATTTAAAGCTGAAGGAACGTTTGTCTTTCTGCAGTTGGTACTTCAAGAGTTCATCACAACTGGCGGTGACAGTTTTAGAGCAGTAGTTAACCAGAGTGTGGCCTGTGGTCCTTTGGGGGGTCTCTGAGGGCCTTTTCCACTGTGTCGACATTGTGGGTTAAACTGCTCCCGCCTGAGCCCAGATCAGGGCAGTGGTCCCAGACCCCACAGGGACGTGCGGGATTCCTCACCAGTACACGCTTGGCAGTTTAAGACGTTAGTTTTACTTAAGAATGTTCTTGACAAAACATTGAAAGCTACTCATTTTATTAAGTCTCAGCCTTTGAGCACACATCTTTTCACTACTCTGTGTGCCCAGGTAGGGAGCTCACAGAAAGCACTTCAGCTCCATGTCATGTCATGAGACAGTGACAGTTGTCTCAAGAAAAAGCAGCTGTATGGTGCTTAAGTTATGAGCTAAAAAACTAGTTGCCTTTTCCCTGAAATGCAGTTTTTACTTGAAAAACCACTGAAAGACCAACTCTGGTTCTTCACACTCAGGTTTTTGGCAGATACGTATTCAGATGAGTGACGTGAGCCGGTCGCATCAGGGAAAGCAGGTGGCAGTGTCTTTTGCCACAGTGATAAAATTCAAGACTTGAAGCCAAAATAGAAATTTGGGGAAATGTAAACCCACCATTGTGAGCTTGACAGCTTCCCAGTGCTTAAAAGATGTTCCCAGTGAGACTGGTGGGGATAGTAATGAATTTGAACTTTTTGATATTGTATAATGAAATGTGCTAACACTTGGAAGATCAGTGTGTTCTTACAAAATCTTGCATGAGAGGAAGATTCATTCAGAGTACAAGACTGTTGGAGTTTAGTGGGGCAGGGTACCGGAAAATACAGGGGCAAGGATTCAGGTGCCACTTTGCAGCTCAGCTTAAAAAAACTACTACCTGGTGAGTTTTGGTGCAGCCCTGGCCAGGTCGCTTTCTTCAACTGAGGACAGTCCAGGAGAGGGACTCGACCAAGAGTTGACTGCCAGCACGTCCAGATCTGAGAAATGCGCACTTCTGCCCTGGACAGGGGTGATCTGGGTGGGCAAGGAACTGTGCAAGGAGATGGCTCAGAATGTCGTTGATGTTAACGATGCCATTAATGATGGATACGCAGAGCCTATTAAATCGAGTGGTTTTGTAAACTGTTGAGGTGTGTGTGTGCGCGCACGGGCTCACGCACACACGCGCTGACTTAGCAAAGCAGGGGGCTTTGTAATACTTTGAATCCAGCACCCGGGGCCCTCTGCACGGAGTCTGCAGGAGTTGGTGTTTCCTCAAGCTGAGCTTTCTGACACCTGGCCTGGCACTAACGTTTCCTCTTCTGCCCTCCCAGTTTCTCAGCAGGGTGTGTGGCGCTGCCGGCTTTAATTAATATCAAAGCTGTGATCGAGCAGAGGCAGTGCACAGGAGTTTGGAACCAGAAAGATGAATTACCTGTGAGTTCCACTTTCTTTCGTTCTTGCCTCTCCTGTCGTTAGAAGAACTTGGACATTAAGAATTTTAAATGCCTGTCCTGCCTTTTAATCAGGGAACAGGATTGTAATTGTTTGACGGGGATCCTTTTCCGTATATGTAGACGTGATGAAACCATAGAACTGGGAGCTGGTACATTTTGGAGGCACTGGAGCAGTTTTCTTACCATTACTTAAGAGTGGCAGTGACAGCTCATGAAGGAAAAATACAGGTGGGAAGGGTGGTCTATACTGTAGCGTGCGCTGTGTTCTGTGATGCGGTTGATAAACCACTCACACTGTGGACTTTTAAAAATGTAAAAGCGGTGAGTCAGCTTGATTGGATTCAGTTTTGTCTTAAATATTGATATTTATGGGGTCATGGGTTTGTGCTGGTTGTATTTCCCAATACCAATTAAAATGAGTACATAGCTGTTAAGGGCCGTCCCAGGGACACCCGCAGTCAGCAGTGGCCCTCCCGTGCTGTGTGCCCGCCGCTATCGTGGAACAGGCCGGGGTTTTCAACATCAGCTCCAGTCACGAGCTCTCTAACTTCTCAAAGCGGTAGTTTGTCCATGTCTACAGCAAGGACCATGCTTCTCTTTATGGGGCTGTTGAAGGCTAGAGACAGCATTGGTATGCTGGGGATAGTGTGGACCACAGCAGGCAGTCAGGTTTCGTTGCCATGTGGTTATGACACGTGTGTGTGTTTCCACCAGGCCTCTGACAGGAGTCCCCGTGCCTGTCGTGACAGTGCCACAGGCCCTAATGGGCTAAAACACGCGTTTGGCTTTTGGCTGTGTTTCTGCCCCCCCCCCCCACCCCGCGCGCGCGCCCAGGTTTATCTGCAGTTATCTCGTTCTTCCAGCTGGTAGCTGGCGGTTGGCTGCCCCAGCTTCTCAGAGATCCGCTCCGATCAAAGGCACAGGTGCGGCCCCAGTCCCGAGTGCGGTCAGGACGCCAGCCGCACCCAGCGGGGCTGCTGCTCGTCTGAGCGGGCGGGGGGCGCCGAGCCTCCCCTCGCCTCGCCGGGGCAGGTGTTCCCAGTTGTGTCGTCAGAACCTTTGACCCTCGGGCCCTGGGCCAGCGCGCACTGAAAGCTGAACTCGCCCGAAGCCCGGGCGCCGGGGAATAGCGCGCTGGGAGGTGCTGGGGTCGAGTGTTTCTCGGAGCTGTTCTTACACTTGGTCGACTTTCTAGAAGAGTCTGAGTGATAGACATTTATACTGACAGCCGTGCTAGATTGAGAAGGAAAGAAACAGGAAGAACCGGCCTTCGTGGAGCCTCTGTCGTGCGCCTGCCACTGTGCTGAGCTGATTCCATAGCTTCTGTTCGTTGTGTTTGCTGGAAGGAGGGAGCCGATACAGGTGCCACTGTCTCGGATGACAGGTTGTGAGGGGGCCTGAGGGTCTGTAAAGCCCTTGTTTCAGGTGGTTTCTCTGGACAGGTGCACACAGAACAGGGGAAGCCCGGACCTGGAGCCCACGTGGCAGCAGCGGCGTTTAGCCTGCGTTAGAGGCGTTGCCAGCCTGGCTTGTGTCGCCAAGCTAAGTGTCCCACAGGAACAGCCGGGATTTCTGCTGGGGTAGCTCTTCGGTATATCCTGAACACATTTTCAGTACAAATTACAGATTTTCGAGAGTGTTTGACTTACAGAGCATTGCCTTGCTCCTCCTCTCAGACATCAGAATTTGGTCTGAAAAGTAGTGTTAAAAATAATTTTGAGGGCTAATTTAGAATTATGAAGTAATACTTTGAATCCCTAAGACTGCCTATTTGAGCAAGTTAGAAAAATGCTGTAACAAGTTGCCGTCAGTTGAGTAGATTTGATAAATGTTCCTTGCTGCCTAGTGCGTATCAGCATGTGGATGGTTATCTGTAATGTAACTTGAGACTCTTAACTTTTTTAAAAAAACAGATTGAAGTGGACCTTGGTAAGAAGTGCTGGTATCACTCTATTTTTGCCTGTCCTATTCTTCGTCAGCAAACAACAGACAACAATCCACCCATGAAATTGGTCTGTGGTCATATTATATCAAGAGATGCCCTGAATAAAATGTTTAACGGTAGCAAGTAAGTGTCTGACTTTTGAAAAATGTTTGTTAAAAAAAAAAAGGTAGACTTTAGAAATTAATTGATTTCTTAACTATTCATTTAGTATCGTGGGTGTTTTCTGATTTTTTTGTCAGTCCTGAATTTGTTGGTTAGATTTATGGGCGTGGTCTTCAGCCCCTCTCATCCCTTCCCCCTTTACACAGATGGTAGCGTGCTGTGTACTGTTCTGCGCTTTGCTTTTTCACTTAGTGATGCATCTTAGAGGTCTTTTAATGATATAGAAAGAGTCCTCATTCTTTTTTAAAGCTGCAGAATATTCTACCATATGGAAATAGGATCATTTATTGAACCAGTTCCCTAATGATGAGCATTTAACCTTTGTTACTATAGAGTGAATTTACCGTATCTTTGTGTGATATATAAATTTGTAGAATTGGAATTACTAATTCAAAGGATATATACATTTATAATTTTTATACATGATGAGCCCAGCTTTTAAAAAGACAATCTCAAAACTGTTTCTAGCTTAAGTGGCTAGAAGATGTTTCATTGGAGTTGGTTTCAGACCCATTATGGTTAAGTCTTTCTTCTCAGAGAAGCCTCTGGCTTGTAATAAAGCTGCCTGTGCCCTTCCCAGCAGCCCTTGGAGTGCGGGTGAGTGGCCACTAGAAGCCAGACGGTGGTCTTGGTTCGGGCCGTGCTGGGTTCCTGTGTACCTGCAGGTGCAGGCCGCTCTGGGTGGGCCGCGTGTCCTGTAGGCTTAGCAGCTGGCATCAGACCTGCTGCATGTGAGTGGACTGTGACACTCGTACCTCCGAAAGTCATTTCAAGATCGGTGCAAGCTAAACCTTGGAGGAGAAAAGTTGGATTTCCTCCTGAAACCCCAAATGCAGTTTTCAGAACAGTTGTCTTTGTTTTTTGTACAAAATAATTTTCACTGATTTCCACTAAAGAAGAGCCTTTCAGTGTGGGGTCTGGCTTGGATGGTGTTCATTTGTGACGCTGGCTGTTACAGTAAGAGAAAACACAGTTGCCCCTCAAAGCAAAAAACAGTGTATGTGTGTAATTTTTTTAAAGATACTCTGTAAGTACATGAAAATTGAATGCTCTGTACTGATCCTGTTCCTTGATTCCATGTTTTCTCTCTTGTCTTTAGATTAAAATGTCCATATTGTCCAATGGAACAAAGTCCAGGGGATGCCAAACAGATATTTTTCTGAAGAAATTAGTTTGCAATTTGTAAGTGAAACTGAATGGAGGCGCGTTTCAGAAGAGAACGTCCCATTTAATGCAGCTAACCAAGGACTCCCATGTTTATATAAGCTAACGCTCCAGAAACTTTGCCAGCATTTTAGTGTGCGCACACTGAGGGAGTGCTCTGGGGGACACCTGTCAGAGGGCTTTATTATATTCTTGGTCTTCATTTCTGATCAAGTAAATACACCAGCAGTTGTCATTCAATGCAGGTTTTTGTACTTAATTATATGGTGATTTTTTTACTTTTTAAGAGCAGAAACAGAAATTGACCTCTCCGCCATGTGTTTAATATTTCTCCTGCTTTTACTTTTGTCATTCTCTTGATAACTGTTGAGCCTTGAGAATGTTTGTGAAGAAACATGTTGTGTGTACATAATTAAATGAAAATTCTT